GTGGTAGAGTGCTTGCCTTGCATGCATGAGGCCCTGGGTTCAATTCCTCAGCACCACATAAGCAAAAAGAAAAAAAGCCGGAAGTGGCGCTGTGGATCAAGTGGTAGAGCGTTAGCCTTGAGCTGAAGAGCTGAGGGACAGCACCCAGACCCAGAGTTCAGGCCCCACGACCGGACCCCCCCCAAAAAAAAACCCATAATAGAACACTTGTCTACCAAGTACAAAGCTCTGAGTTCAAACCCCAGTATTGCAAAAAAGAAAAAAAAAAAAGGAAAATTACCCATAGTATCTATTATTTAATCTTTTTTCATTGATAAAGTTAATGACTTGGTTTTAGATACATTTATACAAATTGTATTTACCCTATCTACCCCAAAGGTTCTTGGAATGGTTTTTTTAATATGTTTTTTAAGAATCACTAGTACAGGGTACCATGTATGATTTTTTTAAATGCTAGAAAAGGCTACCACTAGTAATAACCTCAAAATAGAACTTCTGGCAGTATTTAAAATTCCTGAACTCAGGGCCTCATCATCTTGCCCAGGTTTTTTGCTCAAGGCTGGCACTCTACCATTTGAGCCACACCTCCATTTCCGGCTTTTTGCAGGTTAATTGGAGATAACAATCTCATGGAGTTTCCAACCCTGACTGGACTGCTACAACTCTCAGATTTCAGCCTCCTCAGTGGCTAGGACTACAGGCATGAGCCACCAGCTCACCAGCTTACCCATTCCCCAGGTGCAACCCATCTCATCTTCTTGGCCACCAGCATTTCTCTTCTTTTCCTCAGTATCTCTTTCCTCCTCTTCATCGGAATCTTCTCCTAGCATCTTCTTCTCCAACAACTTTTGTTGCTGCTTTCGAAGTTCCTTCAACTGTGTTACTGTTAACTCAGATTCTGCCTCTCGGTCTTCCTCTGGTCCCTGATGAAATAGCCCAAATCGACAAACTAGAGTTCAGGAATGTGCAAAATTACTTTCAGAACTATAGCAATGTAAACAGAGGTCTAGAGATTAAAATGCAGGCACTTTTCTGACTAGGACAATCTCCTTGCTCACCTAAAAGCTTAAGAAGCTCAGAATCCTGGCAGGATGAAGTCCTAAGGTATTTACTTACTTACTTACTCGCTTACTTATACTTACCTGCAGGATGAAGAGTCGAGTGCTGCCTCCAAAGCGAAAAACGTGTCCGACGTGGACTCTGCAATAGGTGCGGGGTGGAATACGAGTTTTGTTGAGGAAGGTGCCATGGGTACTGCCCAGATCATGCAGGTAAAAGCCCTGCTCCTGGCCGTCACAATCTGCGTCCGGGCCTGGAGCTCTGTGCTGGAGCACGGCGTGGTACCGAGACACGGAAGGATGCTCCAGACATACGTCACAGCTCGGCAGCCTCCCGAAAAGACAGCAACTCGTTCCTTTCAAGCTGCGGGTGCCCACGATGGTGCCACTCTTCAGGATCTCTAGGCTGTAGGGAGCTGTGGCTGGGCTGCCCCAGGGAGGTTCTTGGTACGGGGGAGCCCGGGAAGGGCCTCCAGGACCGGCGACAAGCGTGGGGAGCCGCGGCTGCTCCTGGGGGAGACTCGAACTCGGGGCCTCCTCATTGACTGGCCGAGGCACAGGAGCCTCGGGGTCCCCGGGGCCGGGCTCCAGCAGCGACGGAGGACATTCATTCTTCCCCTCTCCATGATCTGTGGGACTAGCGGCCGGAGCCTTACTCCTCCCAGCCGGCGGCACTGGCAGAGCAGGTTTCTTGAAGTCGCCACTGAGTTCTGGCGATGCAAGCGGCTCCGACTGAGGGAGAGGATCAGCCATCATCAACCGGCGCAACGGCGAAACGCGTTCCGGGGAAACCTCGCCCTTCGCGCCCCACGTTCCCCTCCGCCACTCCCTCTTCCCGCCTCCCCAAAGCTTCCTGAGCGGTAGCGAAAAGGTTAAGTCCTTCAAAACCAGGGCGTCTTAAAACGTTCATGACACGGGAAGGTAATCATTACAAGAAACGGCTGCCGCAGTGCTGAGCAAATCGGGGACATGTTTAGGTGTTGCAACAAGATTGTAATGACTTCCGGTGGCAAAGTTTGATTGACAAGAAGCGCTTCCGGCAGCCTGGGCTCAGCCTTGTAGGCCTAACCAGGCCCTCGCCTCAGGCCTCTTGGGGTCCCGGCCTCAGACCTCCTGGATCCCCGCCTTTTCCTGGGACGCGGCCGCGAGGGCTCGAGGCGCTTTATTGGGTTCGGGCCCAGGACTCCCCGTCTTCCTGCAGGCGACCCCAGGATCCTGTGATTGGCGCCTGCTGACTGTGACCGAGAAGCCCCCCGGAGGAACTTGGGCTTTCCCTTGGGTCAGTACCAGCTCTTCCTGCTTCCTTCAGTGATACTAGGCAAGAGACCAGGGTTTTGTTAGTTTGTTCATTCATTACTTATGAAATGAAGTATGGCTTAGTGTGTTTGTGACACTGGGCCTCAGCTTTCACATCTGAAAAGTGGGATCTCAATGACATCTATTTCATAGGATTATTTGGTAGTGGTTTTGGGTTTGTTGTTGCGTATGTGTTCTGGTGCTGGTACTGCGACTTGAACTCGAGACTGGGGTGCTGGCCTTGAGCTTTTTCTCCTCTTAAAAGCTAGCACTCTACCACTTGATCGTTAATTGGAGGTAATAGAGCCTCAGCTCCATTTCTCCTTTTTGATCGTCAATTGGAGGTAGGAGTCTCATGCACCTTCCTGCCACCTTTGGCTTCAAACTGTAATCCTCAGTTCTCAACTTCCTTACTAACTAGGATTACAGACTTGAGTGACCAGCGACTGACATATTTAACAGGTTTGGGGGAAATAATCGAACTAAAAAATAAAATAAAACTTCCAACATAGTCAGCACTTGATAAATGCCAGGCACTGTACCAAGATCATAGCCATCACAGGTAGGTGGGAGAATAAAGTTGGTTGTGATAATCCCAGGTTAAACTCCAGGGATAAATCCCAAGACACAAGACATGTGAAGTGATCTGAGATTATAAAAGGGAATATTCATTTGGGAAGTGGTAGAAGGTGATGACTTAAGCTAGCCATAAGTACCAGATGGCAGGGCACTAGTGGCTCACACCTGTAATCCTAGCTACTCAGGAAGCTGAGGTCTGAGGATCACTGTTCAAAGCCAGCCCAGGCAGACTCATCTCCAATTAACCACCAAAAACACAAGAATGGTGGTGTGGCTCAAGTGGTATAGCTCTGGACTTGAGCTGAAGAGCTGATGGACAGTGCCTAGGCCCGAGCCCCACGGAAAAAAAAAAATTAGCAGACAGCGATGTAGAGGATGGTGGGGCAGAGATCACAGTTTAAAGAATCAATTGTGAACCCGGTGCTAGTTGTTCACACCTGTAATCCTAAGGACTGGAGGCTGAAATTTGAGGATCAAGTTCAAAGCCAGCCTGGGCAGACAAATCTCTTTTCTCCAGCCTTGAGCATAAAAGCATATGAGTATGTGAGGCTCAGAGTTTAAACCCCAGTGTGGTCACACATGTATTCTTGTGCACTCATATGCACGCACATACAAAAGAGAGTCAATTGTGGGAATGCCTGGCATTCTCAAGAAACTGAGTTAAGTGTCCATGGTTCACATCAATAATCCTAGCTACTCAGGAGGATGAGATCTGAAGATAGGGGCTCAAAGCCAGTCTGGGCAGAAAAGTAAATAAGACATCTCTAACCAGCAAAAAGGGAATTGGAGATGTGGTTCAAGTGTTATAGTTGAGGTCCTCAGTTCAATCCCCAGTACTCCCAAAGGAAGAAAGGGAGGAGATTGGGCGATGATATTGTTAGAACTAAGGTGGTCATTTAGTCCAGAAAGCTGTGTGCTTCTACCATACCATTATACCAAGTCTATGCCTTAAAACAGCACTTCGCTTATCCTTTCATATTAAAGTATTTCTCTTTCTCTTCCTTTTTTTCAGGTCTAAGAGCTTGAACTGTCAGTCTTCATCTCCTTATATAATGTCTGGCATTTAATTAATGTTTGTTGAACTTGAAAAGACATGGGCAATGAATCTAGAAAGGTGGGTTGAAGCCAGACTGAGTTTTGTTGACTAATAAGGCAAGGAATTCTGACTTTTTCCTACAGGCAAAGGAAAGCCATTAGATTTGAATTTTAAGAAGATTTAGGTAACCTACATGTGATTGGCCACACCTCTAATTCCAGTACTCAAGTGGCTGAGTCTGGACTACATAGCAAAATATTGTCTCCAAAAAAGTCAGGTGCTGGTAACTCATGCCTGTAATTCTAGTTACTCAGGAGGCTGAGATCTGAGGATCTTGGTTCAAAGCCATCCTGGGAAGAAAAGTCCATGAGACTTTTACTTCCACTTAACCATCAGAAAGCCAGAAATGAATGTGTGGCTTAAGTGGTAGAGTAACAGCCCTAAACAGAAATAGCTAATCAACAGCATGAAGCCCTCAGTTCAAGCCCCAGAACAGGCACATGGGAGAGAGTAAGGGAGGGTGGGGGCAGGAAAAGGTACCAGTTAAAAGACAACAGAAATCTGCTTCTTCTGTATATATGTAAGAAGTGAAAGCACTGGACTAGATTAGAGGGTCATAAATTTTTCCACCAGGATCAGTTAAAATGTTCCTGTGCCAACACACAGAGAATAAGAACCATCTATTAGTATTTTTAGTGCTATTGTCTTTTCTCAGTTATGTTAAGATACCTTTGAAATACTCTAGGCTTCATATTTAAGTGTTGTACCTTGCTAATTGTTTAGGTTTGCATGTGGTGGTAATGAATTAGTGAAGTGAAATAGAAAATGTGGATGCTAGAGCCCAGAAACCTTTGCAGCTGTCCATCTACTAATGACTTAGATTGTACCTTATGGTTCAGTCAAGGGGAATTGTCATTGTGTAAAAGCAATTGCATCTTTGCAGGGAAATGGATGGAGCTAGAAGGAATCATGTTGAGTGAGGTAAGCTAAGAGCAAAGAGACAAACGGTACATGGTCTCCCTGAAAAGTGGATGCTAAATCCAAAATGTTAGGTGATGCGACAAAATTAACAGGACTTAAGAAACAAAGAACTCCCACTCATCTGGTCGAACCACTATTAAATATCCCCATGCTGCTGATCACATGTATGGTGTATATGTGTACACCGTTATATGTTATAGACTGTGATAGACAGTTTGCTCCAGGAAAGTTGGAATGAACTTGTGACTTTAAATGAGCATCATTATTCCACAATACTGTGAAACTTGGGAAATTATGTAATCACTTAATCACAATTAAAAAAAAAAAACCTCAGGGAAGTTAGGGAGGGAAGGGATGGTAGGGGGAAAACAATGGGGGGGGTAACTGCTCAATAGGAAGTGTACTCATTACTTTGCTCATGTAACTGTAACCCTCTGTATAGTATCTTTACAATAAAATTTTTTTTAAAAAAAAGCAATTGCATCTAACACTTGTATTTCTCTCTCTTTTTTTTTTTCAGGGAGAGTATCTTTGGCCCTACAGTTTGCTGATACTGACATTGTTCAGAGTGGTCTTAAAATAACTTACTTTTTATATAAATAACTGCCTAGACGTCACATTTTTCACTACAGAAACCTATATTCTACAGTTGCCAGAGATTTATCTTTTAAGATATCATCTCCATTAAAACTGAGACTTGTTCCCTTCTTATTTCAAAATGTTGAGATACTGGGGAGAAATACCAATATCCTCAAGCCAGACCAACAGAAGTTCCTTTGATCTGCTCCCACGGGAGTTCCGTCTGGTGGAAGTCCATGACCCACCACTGCATCAGCCCTCAGCCAACAAGCCAAAGCCCCCCACTGTGCTGGACATCCCCTCGGAGCCCTGCAGCCTCACTGTCCATACCATACAGTTGATCCAGCACAACCGCCGTCTTCGCAGCCTTATTGCCGCAGCTCAGGCTCAGAATCAACAACAGACAGAAGGTATAAAGACTGAAGAGAGTGAACCTCTTCCTCCCTGCCCTGGCTCACCTCCTCTCCCTGATGACCTCCTACCTTTAGATTGTAAGAATCTCAATGCACCCTTCCAGATGCGGCACAGTGACCCAGAGAGTGACTTTTATCGGTAAGGGAAAGCTTTGCTCTCTTACTTTCCTCAAAAAAATGAAGTTTCTCATTCTTTGTTGAGTCTGTATTTTTTTAGGTTTTCTGATGCATTAGTTTTTTATTGAGTGCCTAGTATTAGGAATCTACAACTGTATACAAGAACCTTTTTTTTCCAGTTTTAGGGATTGAATCCAAGGTCTTGTACAACATAGGTAAGCACTATACCACTGAGCTACATCTCTAGCTCAAGAAATTTTAGATTGTGCATTTTCATTTTGATAACATTATTTAAAAAATAATAATGCAAAAATGTTCTTGATCGGGCTGGGAAGGTGACTCAGTGGTAGAGCACTTGCCTTGCATGCCTGGGTTTGATTCCTCAGCACCACATAAGCAGAAAAAAGCCAGAAGTGGTGCTGTGGCTCAAATGGTAGAGTGCTAGCCTTGAGCTGAAGATTTGAGGGACAGCACCCAGGCCCAGAGTTCAGGCCCCATGACCGGACACACACACAAAAAAAGTTCTTGATCCTTGTTACTCAAAAATCTGATCCAATACCAGCAGCATCAGCATACCTGGTTAGTAGTTAGAAATGCAGAACTCTACCATGGACCAGTGGCTCATGCCTGTAATCCTAGCTACTCAGGAGACAGAGATCTGAAGATCATGATTTGAAGCCTGCCCAGGCAAAAAAGTTCATGAGACACTTGTCTACTGTTAACCACCAGAAAGCTGGAAGTGGAGCTGTGACCCAAGTTATAGCATGCTAGCCTTGAGCAGAAAGCTCAAAGGGACAGCACCAAGGCCCTGAGTTCAAGCCCCAGGACCAGCACCAAACAATAAAAAATAAAATAAAATTCCTTTGTCAGAGGCAGGCAGATACCAGATAGTAAATTTCTAGAGGCAGCTACTTAATTTTTAAAAAATGAAAAAAAATTTGTTCAAAATTGTTTTTAGTAGAGCAGACAGAAAGCTGTTTTTAGAAAGCCTAAAATTTCTGCAGTATTATGAAAAAATATGGGATCTGGAGTCCAAAGACCCATTACTTACTAATAGCAAAACAACATTTGGCAAGTCAGTTCCTCTGAACCTCAGTTTCCTTTCCTGGTGATTAGGAATGATAATAATATTGGGCTAGCTACTACTTTACAGCAAAGGATAGGATGTAAATGCTTTGTAAGTTGCATGTTTTAGTTGCTTTTACAAAACTGAGTTTCCTTCTCAGTAAAAAAAAAAAAAATGGCCTCTGAGCCAGGCGCCAGTGGCTCATGCCTATAATCCTACTCAAAGGCTGAGATTTGAGGACTGCAGTTTGAAGCCAGACTGAGCAGGAAAGCTTGTGAGATTTCTTATCTCCAATTAACTACTAAAAAAACTGCAAGTGGAGCTGTGGTGCAAGTGATAGAGTGTTTGCCTTGAGCACAAAGCTCAGGGACAGCACCAGGCCCTGAGTTCAAAATCCAGGACCTGTGCCAAAAACAAAGGTCTCTGTAGTTGTAAAAGAATTACCCTAGCAAAACTAGAAGTGTGGCTAAGTGGCCCTGAGTTAAACCAGTACTGAAAGAAACAAACAACAACAACAAAAACATTATCATGTGTGTTAACTATTGAGAAATAGTGCCTCATTGAACAGGATATGAGCTACTCTGTTATGCTTCATTCTACAAGTGATCAATATTGAGCTGTCAGGAGAAGGAAGCTTCCTTTCCTCCAGATAACCTTCCTACTGCTTATTGTAGATATGTGGCGTCTACGCAGTATGTAAGTGGAAGAGCTCAGAGGTGCAATCACAGGCTGTGAGACACGCCTGAGAGCCATGGGATGAAACAGCTGCTTTCCCTGGAAAGCTTGGCATGTGATTTGACTGAAATGGTCAAACTTCTCGAGAGACAGGTCACTCTTTGGCAAGAGCAGTATTAACAGTACCATGTCTCCACTTTCAGTGGGAAAGGGGAACCTGTGACTGAACTCACCTGGCACTCCTGTCGACAGCTTCTCTACCAGGCAGTGGCCACAATCCTGGCCCATGCAGGCTTTGAGTGTGCTAATGAAAGTGTCCTGGAGACCTTAACCGATGTGGCACATGAGTATTGCCTTAAGTTCACCAAGTTGCTGCGTTTTGCTGTGGACCGGGAGGCCCTGATGGGACAGACCCCTTTCCCTGATGTTATGGAGCAGGTGTTCCACGAAGTGGGGATTGGCAGTGTGCTTTCCCTCCAGAAGTTCTGGCAGCACCGCATCAAGGACTATCACAGCTACATGCTCCAGGTGAGGTGACCCCGGGAGAGGGAGCAATTCAGCAGCATCCAACACTGTTGCTCTAGAGCAGAGCACGCCGGTTTATGGAACAAAATGAATTTAACTTACTTTTCTCATTCCTTAGCTATGTTCCATTGGCCTTTATCAATTGCAAGCCTTCCCCACCCCCCAAATTCAGTGATACTTCTAGAAGAAATACAAAGATGTATGAAGTCCAAGGCTGTGGTTAGCATCTTTCATTCAACAAATATTTATCGATGGCTTATTGTGCATTGGGTGTTGTGGGATATCACTGTTAGGAAGACAAATTCTTTCTTTCAGTCTTGTTGAAGGGAAACAAAACCAGTAAACAAATCATGACCATAGCCATTTCAGATGACAGAATAATGAACACATAGCAGAACACAGTGATGTTGCCTGGAAGAAGGGAATGCCAGTTTTAGTTAGACTGCAGACATCTCATTTCCCTAATCCTCGAGATCTTAAGTCAGTTATTTATTCACTGTTTTCCCCAAATCTAAGATGGTAATTTTTAACATCCAACCAAAAAAGAGAGAGAGAGAGAGAGACTTTGCTAAGTGATCCAGATTTCCCAGAAGTTTAGTATTTGCCTAGGGTATGTAGGTCAAAGTTAGGAGGTTTTGTTTTTAGTTTTTGAGTCAGGTTTCACTATGTAGCCCAGGCTAGCCTCAAACTCTTAATCCTCTTTCCCCATCCTTCCATCCCTTCTTCCCTAGTACTAGGCCTGTAGGTACATACCACTATGCCTGCCCAGATGTTAGTTTTTTGGTAGGGATTTTTGTTTTGCCAGTGCCAGGGTTTGAACTCAGTGTCTTGAGCTGGCTCAGCTTCCTTGCTGGCACCCAACCACTTGAGCCATGCTTCTAGCCTGGCTTTATTGCTAGTTATTTTGGAGATGAAATCTCAGCTTTTTCTGCAAACTGCAACCCATTGGATCTGTTTCTTCGCAGCTGTTTTGTTTGCAGGTGTGAGCCACGGGCACCCAGCTCAAGAGTTCATTTTTATGGACAAAAATGTAATCTTTCATTCCATTCTGGTTTTTTTTTTTTTTACTTTTATGTAAATTTTTTGTTTTAGTGCTTATACCAAGACTGAACTCAGTGCCTTGTTCTTACTAAATTTTCTTGCACATGGCTGGCACTCTGCCTCAAGCCCAGCTCTTTGCTGGTTATTTTGTAGATGGGAATCTCAGGGACTTGTATTCCTGGGCTGGCTTTAAAATACTATCTTCTAAGTCTCAGCCTCCTAAGTAGCTAGCATTACAGGCATGAATGGTGAAGCATTTTCTGACTAATTTTCTTCACGTGTCTATCATATGTAAATGCAAAGTCAACACCTTACACCAAAACCTTCCACTGGCAGTGGAAATTGCTTCATTGTTTTGTGGTGCTTGGCATAGGACTCGTGACTAATCACATGCTGAACTAAACAAATGCTGTACCACACCCAACCCTGGTAGGGGCTTTAAAACTCCTGTGTTCTTCCTATTCTGTTGGCTTCTCTATGGGCTGCCACAAGCTAACTATTCAACTTTCTTCTAACATGTGCTTGGGAAATTAACTCCTGCTTGTCAACAGATCAGTAAGCAACTCTCCGAAGAATATGAAAGGATTGTCAATCCTGAGAAGGCTACAGAAGACACCAAACCTGTGAAGATCAAGGAGGAACCTGTGAGCGACATTGCCTTTCCCGTCAGCGAGGAACCGGAGGCTGACCTTGCCTCTGGAGATCAGTCCCTGCCCATGGGAGTCCTCGGGGCTCAGAGTGAGCGCTTCCCATCTAACTTGGAGGTGGAAGCTTCACCACAAGCTTCAAGTAAGAGAGATCTATGTACTTATTTAGTTTGAGGAGATCCGTCAGTCAGCACTTAGTGCATTTTGGAGTCAAGCTCTAGAGGTGGGAGAACAAAAGTAGGAGTGGGCAGAGTGGAAAGTTCTAAAACTGACAAGCTTCAGTGATCTAGAGAGATGAGCTCTGTCCTGTCTAATGGTGGAGAGAGGCCTGGCTCAGCTTTATATGCATTCCTTCAAATAATCTCCAGTTAGGTCCTGAGTGCAGTGTATGTTATCCTCTTGAATACTAACCTGACTGCAGCTGATCCAGCTGGTTGGGCAAATCTCCTGTCCTGCCTTTGGTAGTCTGTGCTAGTTCCTCCTGTGCCTGTAATTGATATGTGAGGGAGTGTTAATTGCTCAAGCTCTGGAGGACTTCCAACAGGTTATAAGTGAAAGAGATTGAAATACTGGCACATTGTTGGAGATAGGTGGTCTCTTGCTGGTAGACACTGGGATAAGTTTAGAAACCAGGACAGCAGACCTGTTACTTTCTTATTACAATATTGTGTATTTATTTTATCTCAAGCTTGATCTCAGTCTTGAGATTCTCCTACCTCAGCCTCTCAAATGCTGAGATAACCGGCATGAGCCACCAGACTCAGCCTGATGCAATACTTGAGTCACTTAAACTGCAAATACATCAGGGCACTTATTTGTTTACAGATATAAAGTGTCACTTCATCAGTACACAAATAATTCAAATAGCAAATCCCCAAATGTGACTCAAGTGGGATTAAGCTGGTGTTGGGAAGAATGACTTTACCAGGGAAGAAACAGGACAACCTTAGCTGATCGCCAGTGGCTCATAGCTGTAGTGCTAGCTACTCAGGAGGCTGAGATCCAAGGATCAAGGTTCAAAGCCAGCAGGGGCAAGAAAGTCTGAGACTCTTATCTCCAAATAGCTACCAGAAAAGCCAAAAGTAGACCCGCGGCTCAAATGATAGTGCTAGCCTTGAGCACAAAAGCTCAGGGACGACACCCAGGCCGAGTTCAAGGCCCAAGCTTGGCACTATAAAAAACAAAACCCCAGCAGGACAACCTTGCTAGAATACATTGAGAGTGACAGGAGGTAAAGGTGTAAGGAATATGACTCGTCAGTGAAGACAAGAAGGGAATTGCTATCAGCATTAGGTAGTAATCATTATGTTTTCATCGTGTGAAAGGACCAGAATGAAAAGGCAGGAAAACAAGTCAGCCCATAAAAGAAAGACAGACAGGCAACCTAAACAACTGATTAAGTTGTGGTTTTCTGTGAGCTGTGGAGTCTTTGCACCTGTAGTTTTATTTTTTGGTTTAGGGGAACATGGGACTAAGAGAGGCAAAGCAAGGACAGGTGAAAGTAGTAACAAAAAAAAAAAAAAAAGGTGTGCAGAACAGATTGGGATTGGGATTACACAGTTGCACAATTTTTGAAGCACAGATTAACAGCCATGTGCTCCAGCCAAGTACAGAATCAAAGTCAAACCTGAACTCCTAGGACATTAGTCATTGTGGGATATTACCGTTAGATTTACCAGGCTGTTCCCTGTGTCTCTAGGTGCAGAGGTAAATGCTTCTCCTCTTTGGAACCTGGCCCATGTGAAAATGGAGCCTCAGGAGAGTGAGGAAGGCAGCGTGTCCGGGCATGGTGTGCTGGGTGGTGATGTCTTCGAGGAGCCCATGTCAGGCATGAGTGACGCTGGGATCCCACAGAGCCCTGACGACTCAGACAGCAGCTATGGTTCCCACTCCACCGACAGCCTCATGGGATCCTCCCCTGTTTTCAACCAGCGCTGCAAGAAGAGACTGAGGAAGATGTAACAGCAAATGTGTTAGCATTTGTTTTCATAGCTGATTTGATTCCTATTCTTAGGTACAATGGGCCTATCCAAGCAAGGTTACTTTTTACTGTGGCATTGTTTTTATAGTTTTCTACAACAACCAAGCCACTGTTGGTGAATTGATCACAATGCTGGCATAGTAATCAGAAGACCAAAGCACTTTCCCTAGTCATTGTTTTATTGGCTGATGACACACATTCCTTAGCTTCTCTGCAGCCGTTTGTCTTGCACAACTGAAAAGAACCAGAGTGATCTACCTTGCACACAAAGGAGGACTGAGATATTGGCTAAACTTCAAAACTTTGAACAGACTCATGCCAGTATCACATACCATTTTTTGGTAACTTAGTTTTGGTTCAAGTCATTGAGAATCCATTACTAATATTTAACAAGAAATAGCTAAACACAACAAAGCTTTTGTCATTGTTTTTCTGAGCTGGTACCTGAGTTCAGGCTAGAGCTTGAACTCAGAGCCTTGAGCTTTCACTTGAACATACTTTATCACTTGAGTAATGCCTACACTTCCAGCTTTTTGTTGGCTAACTGAAAATACGAATCTCAGATTTGTCTGCATAGGCTGGCTTCAAACTGTGATCCTCAGATCTCAGCCTCTTGAGTAGTTATGATTCTAGGGGTAAGCCACCAGTGCCCACTTAACAGTCTTATTTTTTTATCAGTCTTATTTTTTAGGCTGTTTTTGCTCCCTATGAAGTCTCAAGAAATTAGAGATCTGTGATGACATAGCCATTTTATTTATCTTTGGTTTTTATTGTAAAGGAAAAGAAGCTTATTGGTTCTACTGTATTTTGTGATGCCTGTGGCTTGAAAGTCACAGAGATGAAAAATAATTCACATATTTGATAGAATTAAAGTGTTTTGTCACCTTACATTGCATTACTTGCATTGAGCCTCTATTAATTATTGCTTTAAATTCTACTGTGTTAAATCTTAACAAGAAATCTTGAAATGTTGTTCTAATACCCATTTTACAGAGGCAGAAAATAAGCTGAGCGGCAAAGTGATTGTCCCAAGCCCACTAGGCTAACTAGCACTGAACACCACCACCACCTCACAGTTAAAATGTGAGCTTCTCAAAGAGAGAATCTCAGGCACCAAGAACAGTACCTGCCATCATGATAAAGAATCTACCAGACCAACTGACTTCAAAGTCTTTGCCCTTTCTGTTAAATCACCTGCTACTCTGTGAATTAGCCTTTTAAAATATTAGAGTGCTGGGCACCAGTGGCTCATGCCTATAATCCTAGCTGCTTGGGAGGCTGAGATTTGAGGATTATGGTTCAAAGCCACCCAGGCAGGAAAGTCCTGAGAGCACCAATTAACCACTAGAAAACCAGAAGTGGTGCTGTGGTTCAGTAGTAGAGTGCTAGCCTTGAGTGAAAAGTTCAGGGAAAGTGTCCAGGCCCTTAGTTCAAGCCCCACAATTAAAAAAAAAAATTAGAGTAGTATATCACTTTACTACTATGAGGAACTGAGGTCCAGAGAGATGAAGTTAATTTGCTTAGAGCTAACAAAGGTCTGTGAACCAAGGTTCTGGATACACAATACAAGCTGTGTGACCTACTTCCTTTTACCAGGAGAGCTAGAGACTGGCGAGAAAGTTGAATTCAAGAGTTTCCCACCTGGCAGCCAAACCCAACCTGAGGTTGGAGAAATGTTAAGTCCCCCATGAAAAGGTAGAAAATTAAGGTTTAGCCGGCATTAGTGCTCAAGCCTGTAATCCTAGTTACTCAGGTGGCTCAGATCTGAGGATCACAGTTCAAAAGGAAAGTCCATTAAGACTCTTATCTCCAGTTAACCACACATGAAAAAATGGAAGTGGCAGTGTGGCCAAGTAGTAGAGCACTTGCCTTGAGCTGAAGAGCTCAGGGACAGCGCCCATACCCAGAGTTCTAGCCCCATGACTGACCAGAAAAAATAAAATTAAGGGTTACTGGTTTTTGTGTTTGTGTGCCTGTCCTGGGGCTTGAATTCAGGGCTCTTGCATAGCTTTTTCACTCAAACTGGAGCTCTACCACTTGAGCCAAACCTCCACTTTTTTCTTTAGCTTCTTTGCTACTACATTGGAGATGTCTCATAATCTTGCCAGTTGCTGGTGGCTCACACCTGTAATTCTAGCTACTTAGAAGACTGAGATCTAAGGATAATGGTTCAAAGCCAGACCAAAGAATTGACTCATTTCCAACTAACCACCAAAAATCAAAAAGTGGAGCTGTGATACAAAGCTCAGGAATAGCACCTAGTACCTGAGAAGCATCAGGACTTGTCCCCTCCTCCCCCCCCCCCAAAAAAAATAAGTCTTTTCTGGTCAGCAGTATTTTCCCTTTTCTCTGGACAAAAGCAGTCCTCAGGCAATGTAAAGGAAATAGCCATTTAGCATTTAGGTACTTAATTCATTTGTTCAAACATGTAGAGTGCTAGTTCCTGTGCTAGCAATACCAGTATGAAGGCTTACTACCACCCTTTTAATAGACCTAATAGCACAAGGTAAGTTATATTTTAAGGAAAAGAATGTGAGCAGACACTGCAGAGAAAAACAAAGCATGTTCAGTTTTTCTTTTTTGGGGGGTGGGGGGATGGGGTCCGGCCGTGGGGCCTGAACTCTGGGCCTGGGTGCTGTCCCTTAGCTCTTCAGCTCAAGGCTAGCACTCTACCACTTGAGCCACAGCGCCACTTCCGGCTTTTTTCTTTTTGCTTATGTGGTGCTGAGGAATCGAACCCGGGGCCTCATGCATGCAAGGCAAAGCGCTCTATCACTGAGCCACCTTCCCAGTCCGCATGTTCAGTTTTCTTTGTAAAGTTTCCCCATAAAGAACAGGTCAAGCTGGGGATAGTGGTACATACCTACAATCCCAACACTCAAGGTGATGGTTCAAAGCCAGACCAGGCTATGCAGCAAGTTTAAAGCCAGAACTGCTCCACAGTAGGAATGTCATTTCTGGAACAGTGTCTCCTCATAGGTATGGCATACTACAATTGATATTTCATAGTAAGATATGCATAGTAAGTGCATTGCTTTGGAAGACTTGTGTTGGAGAACAGGCATCATAAGATAGAGATCAGGGTACTTGATATATCAAGTCATAGGATCATTAGCACCTGTTCCACCTGGCTTGCAATTACATTATAGGCTTCCAAAAGTTTCAAACTGCTGTGCACAACTCCCTAGCTTAGTGCCCTTCACTGTTGCCTGGGTGACACTGACCATATATTTAGAGTAGCCAGGAAAAACCCTTCTAGTCAGTGATGGATGATTGTACGCCTAACTGAAAGCCATGGCCTTGAACACATTACCAAAGGTACTCTGCAACAAATACAGTACAAACAGGCCTGGCTCAGTACCTGATCAGGTAGCAGTAATGGGAAATAACACTTCACTTCCCTACTGAGACAGGTTTGGACATCTTGCTTTAAGGCTCACTGCTGAACAGCAGTGAATCTATTTGTGATTATACCATTTTCTAATTTGAATTTTTTGTTGTTTTGTTGGTCATGGGACTCGAACTCTGGACCTGGGTGTTGTCCCTGAGCTCTTCAGCTAAAGGCTAGCACTCTACCACTTGAGCCATAGCGCCAATTCAGTTTTTTGGTGGTTAATTGGAGTTAAGAGTCTCACGGACTTTCTTGTCCAGGCTGGCTTTCCACCATGATCCTCAAATCTCAGCCTCCTGAATACCTAGGATTACAGGCATGACCCACTGGTGCCTGGCTCAATCTAATTTGAAATAAAAGACAGGCTTTTGACAGAGTTAGAAAAAACTTTATCCAAGTCACAATCTAAGTAAGACTCTTATTACTCAGAAATCATGTTTACCCACTTTCTTTAACAAAGCTGGTGTGTCTTATAATGAGATAATATGCCTAGTGTGAGGCATGCTTCATGCCAGCATTGACTGGCTGCCAAGGGCACCCCACTGCCACTCCAGACAAGCTCATACTGCCCCTCCCTTCCTGCTAAAAGAACAATTGGTGTAGTCAAGGGTCTAATGCTGCACAAGTAGAGGCTGTGGATCCAGCTGAGACTTGAAGTGGTTATCAGGATGGTGAGTCCTTTGCATTCCATTCACAGAAAAGTGTCTGAATTCAAATGCCAAAACGCAAGTTTAGAATAAGGGGTATCAGTCTCCAAGAATGGTACAGGCTTCCTTGCATAAGTACAAGGAAAAGGCCAGCTCCACCGTGTCTTCTATCCTTCACAACATTTCCCTTAAAAGAGAAATTCTGTAATTCCAAGGAAAACTATTTATTGTAGCTGCAAGTCACAGGTAAAAACAGCTTCTTCACATGAAGTTCCAGGGTCTTGGACTTCTAGAAACAAATGAGATCTCCTAAGTCTCCTTTGTGTTATTTCTCTTCCAGTAGTGTGCCTTTGTTTCTTGCATAAAATTCTGAAATGCTGGTTCTTCGTGGCTTTCTTCTGTAACTGCAGGGAAACAAAAAGGAGGTATTTTTTAAACATTTGAAATAAGCCAGGCATCAGGGACTCATGCCTATAATCCTACTTGGAAGGCTGCAATAGTAGCCTGGGGAGAAAAGTTCTGAGACTTCAAACCCCACCTGGGTACAGTGTTATGTGCCAGTCAGTCATCCCAGATCATGGTATCAGGCCACCTGGACACTAAGTCCATGAGAATCTGTCTCTACAAGAAAATGGAGGGCTGGGAAGGTGGCTCAGTGGAAGAGCGCTTGTCTTGCATGCATGAGGCCCCGGGTTGGATTCCTCAGCACCACATAAGCAGAAAAAAAAAAGCCAGAAGTGGTGCTGTGGCTCAAGTGTAGAGTGCTAGTCTTGAGCTGAAGAGCTGAGGGACAGCACCCAGGCCCAGAGTTCAAGCCCATGACCGGACTCCCCACCCCAAAAAAAAAAAAAAAATGGAGGGCTAGGAAGGTGGTTCGGTGGTAGAGTACTTGCCTTGCATGTATGAGGCCCTGGGTTCGATTCCTCAACACCACATAAACAAAAAGCCAGAAGTGGTGCTATGGCTCAAGTGGTAGAGCACTCACCTTGAGCTGAAGAGCTCAGGTACAGTGCCCAGGCCAAGTTCAGGCCCCACGACTGACAAAACAAAGGAAGATGGACACTTTGGCATGTGCCTTTGAACCCATCAATGACAGGATACCTAAAAGTTGGCAGTTTTAGCTGGGCATCGGTGGCTCATATCTGTAAAACTAGCTACTCAAGAGGGTGAGATCAGAGGATCGCAGTTCAAAGCCAGCCCAAGCAGGAAAGTCCCTGAGACTCTTATCTCCAATAAACCACCAGAAAACCAGAAGTGGCATCGTGGCTCAAGTGGTAGAGCACTAGCCTTGAGCTGAAGAGCTGAGGGACATTGCCCAGGCCCAGAGTTCAAGCCCCACGACCAGATCTCAGGTTAGGTGGATGCCTGGGTGGGAAGCAAGACCCTATCTCAAAACAACCTGTGAAAATCAGAACTGGATGCATGTCTCAGTGGTATCACACCAGCCT